GCAATCTTTTTGTTTCCTGTGAATCATCGGGGAAGATGAATTTTCAAAAATAGGATTAACTATTTGCTAAAGGGAAAGAGCAGTTTCCAAACTTCTGCCAAACCTTGATTATTTCTCTCCAGAAGTGTTTCTTCAACTCATGGTGGTGGTAGCAGCTAATTAAAACGGCACAGGCTTTAAGTTCAAATCCCAGCTGAGTCATTTACTGTCTGAGGATGAAGGACCTTACTTCTCTGAGCCTCCATTTCCTCATCTGTAAAATGGGAGTAATGAAACTGAGCTCATTGTGGGGATTAAAAAAGATGGCAAATACCAGGACCTGCCCAGTGTCCGGTTTATTTTAAGTACTAAATCCTTTCCTCTTACCCTTCATACTTTCTTTCTCCCTGGAATTATTTGGGACAAGTGGCTTTTCACCTCCCTGGTTTCCCATCCTTCTTGAACTGTATTTCCCACAAAAGCCTCTGGCCATGGAACATGAAATACCTCTGAACGGTGCTGCCCAGAAGAAATACCAAGCCAGCCACGAATTCAGACCACGTGCATAACTTAAAACTGTTCTGGTAGCCACATTTAAAAAGTAGAAGTAAAGAGCTGGAATTAATTAAGCCATTTACTCAAATATTTTTATTTAACCCAGTATCTCCAAAATATTATCATTTCAATATGCAATCAATATTTTTAAGTATCAATTAGATATTTCACTTCACATTTCTTTTTCTTGTTGTTTGAAACATCTTCGATATCTGATGTGCATCTTACACTACAGCACATCTCAGTTTAGGCTGGCCATATTTCAGGTGTGGTTAGAGGCTTCTGTGTTAGATAGCACAGGTGCAGACTTGGAGACCTAAGCTTCCTACAGGTGTGCAAATGCTTCGGGCCATTGGCCAAAGGCTTAAGAGTGTTGCCTGGAAAATCATTTCAGGTGCAAAATGCACATGTATTTTGATAGTTTGCATAACAAATGGAAATAGATGCATGTCCTCACTTGGAAATAAATAAATGTAAATAAATAAATTTTTAAAAGCTCTATAGTGTGGCTCAAGAACTCCAAGGAGCTCACCTTTTTTCTCTCCCTCCTGCACAGGATATCCGCCCCTTGCCCCCCAGACGACCAAGCTGGCTTGCTTTCCTACTGTGAAGGTCACATGGGGACAGGGGGTGCCGAGACTTCATTTCTACACTTGGTGTCTAATATACATCTCTACCTTTGTCTGTTCAAACCTTTATCCTGGAATAACCATCACTTTGCAGATATGTTCTTTCTGCCCATGACCTAGCTCAAAATAGGACGATTCCATTCTCCCTGTTGCTCTGGAGTCATCAACTTCCCTCTCCCACACACTACACTTAAAACATCATCAAATCTCATACTCAGAAAGTATCTAGAATCTCAGCACTCTGATCACTTCTCATTATCTCTACTATCACTTTGGGAAGAGCCAACAATACATCTAGCCTGAATTAGTACAACATCCTTTTAACTGATAGTCTTGCTTCTTCCTTTGCTACCCATAGAACAGCTTAAATGATTCTTCTTTAAAATGCAAGCATGCATCAGTGAGTGCGAAACACATATTTTTAGTGACAATTAAAATGATATAAAAATACACACCACTTAGGAATAACTCTAAACAAAATATGCACTATTTTATAAGGAAAATTATAAAACTTATTTAAATATTTAAAAGAACATCTAAATAAATGATACAAACCATGTTCATGAATTGGAGAAGTCATTTTCATAAAGATGGTATAGCTCTGCAAATTGCATTTTCAGTCAAACCTAAACATAGCTTTTTTGTAGAGTCTGATAAACTGTTTCTAAAATTCATATCAAGGAAGAACATACCAAGAATGACAAGACAGAATGGAAGAAGAAGAAAAAAAAATAGATTCTTTTCAGATATCAAAATCTGTTATAAGCCTAGAATTAATCATATCATATAGTACTGTCAAAGAGATAAACAGACAGACAGTACTGAGAGCCCAGAAACAGAACTTCATATACATGACAAGGTGATTCACAACAGAGTGGGTGTAGATAAGTGGCTGAAGAATGGCCTTTTTATTTTTTAATTTTTTTTTAATTTTTATTTTTGAGAGAGAGAGAGAGAGTGACCGCAAGCAGAGAAAGAGGGGCAGAGGGAGAAGCAGACTCCCCACTGAGCAGGGAACATGATGCGGGGCTCAATCCCAGGACCCTGGGATCATGACCTGAGCCGAAGGCAGACACTCAACCAACTGAGCCACCCAGGTGCCTAAGAATGGCCTTTTTAAGTAATACAGTTAACATTTTTGGTTATCCATATGGGAAAAACAAAATAAAATAAAACGTTACCCTTTATCTCACATCATACAGAAAAATCATTTTTAGATGAGGGATTTCTACATGTAAAAGGCAAAATTATAAAAGAAAATAATAATGTAAGAGAATAATTTTATGACTTCATAGTGGAGAAGAATTTCTTAGATAATACATGTATATCATAAAAGAACGTATGGATAAATGAAGCTCATTTGAGATTAAGAAATCTGATCGTTAGCAGAAATTGCCAAGAATGTAAGGAGACAAAGCACAAACAAGAGTAAAATATAATATATATATCTGACAAAGGATTAATATCCAAATATGTATTAAATTATAGAAAATCAGTTGGCTAAAGAAGACAGATGATGCCAACAAGAAAGGGACAAAAGATTTGAACAGGAAAAGGGATCCACAATAGCCAATAAGCATATAAAGAGATGCCCAACCTTAGTAATTCAGGAAATGCAAATTAAAAGCCTAGGCAGATTTTCATTTTCACTAGATCAGCAAAAATTAAAACTTCAGCATATCAAACGTTGGTGAAGATATAGAGCCACAGAAACTTTTATGGATTGCTGATGGGTGGGTAAAATGGTGCAGCTGGTTCAGAAAAAGCAATCTGGTATCATCCAGTAAGGGTGAAGATTGTAAACCTACCAATTCCACTTTCAGGGCTTACACCTTAGGGAATTCTTGCACACCTACCCTGGGATATATGTGCAAGGGGTGTCCTAGCTATACCTAACAAGTGCTGGAGCTCCTAACAGCTTATAATAGAAAAACAAGAACAAAAACCTAAAAAAATCCCAGTGTCCAGAATTAAATTGGGGACATATACTGAGGTATATGTATATATCACAGAGTATTATACAGCAAGCAATAAACATGAATGAATCAGAAGCACATGCAACAATTCAAAGGCATTCCAGAACCATACTGTGGAGCAAATGAAGCACATCTTAAAAGACTTAAAAAATTCCTACTTACAAAGTCCAAAAAACATGCAAAACTAAGTAACACATATTTAGCAATTTAGACATATGAGGTAAAATTAGAAAGAAAAGCAAGGGATCAATAATCCCCAAATTCTGGACAACCATGTTCTCTGACAGGAGAGGGAGAGGTGAAGCCTATGAAGGACCTCAAAGACGCCGATGATTAAAAAAAACAAAAACATGGGCGCCTGGGTGGCTCAGTGGGTTAAGCTTCTGCCTTTGGCTCAGGTCATGATCTCAGGGTCCTGGGATCGAGCCCCGCATCAGGTTCTCTGCTCAGCAGGGAGCCTGCTTCCCCCCTCTCTCTCTGCCTGCCTCTCTGCCTACTTGTGATCTCTGTCAAATAAATAAAATTAAATTAAAATTAAAAAACTAAACAAAAACAAAAACACTTAGGTGTTATTTCTTATACCCTATACACTGTTTCTAAATTTTCTTTTCTACCTACTCATCATTTAGAAGCATCCTGTCTGGGGAGAACAGCCCAGATCCTCACACTGAACAGGAAGGCCCTCCCTCACCTGACCCCGTGGCATCCCTCTCTGGCCAGGTCACTGGCCTGCCCTCACCACTCTCTACCCTGCTGTTCTCCCCCCCGCCACCGGCCCTCACCAGGCCTCCTGCAAGGCACCTTGACGTTCTCTATTCCCCTGCCCCGGAATTCTTCTCAAAAATCACAGGGCTCAGACCCTCCCTTCCTTCAGGGCTCCACCCAGAAGGTACACAGGTTTCCAGCCTCCCGACCCCCCACTCCCAACCCCCTGCTCCCCATCCCAATGCAGCCCACGGCAACAAGCACCACTGGCCCCGTCTGCTCCCCCAGATGCCTTTAACAGTGCTGGGAGGAAATGGCTTTCGATAAATATTTCCCAAATAATTAAATGGAAAATTTTGCAGAATATCATGTCAACATCAAAATACCCCTGGAAAGAGTAATACATAAAATCCCGAGTTGCTGGATTAGCTCCTTGTCACTTGAGAGAAGCGGGGACAAAGGATGAGTTCGGTGTTCTATAAGGTACGATTTCAGGAGAGAAAAGCAAATTCTCTGTGAGACAGGTGGTCCTGCTTATTCAGAAAATATTGGCATTTCTAAGGTTTGTTGTGATGATTCACATGAAGAAAGGGAGGCCTAAAGAGGCCCTTACTTACCAGACCCCCAGGAATGACCACCAGACCAGGACAAAGCTAGCTCTCTTGGTCCCCGGGAAGCGGCCCTCACAGCTCAGCACCCTTCAGAGGCCTGTGGGGTTCTGGGCAGAGGAGCCTTACAGTCAGCCTCCTCTCTTCAACCCTGGGATTTAGCAGAGACAGGCCCAAGTCCAGCCTCTCCCACACATAGCATGTCACCTTCCTTAACAGAACCTTGAGAAAGGGCTTGACCTGAGGTAGGAGGATGAGGAAGGGAGCTGGAGCCCAGCCCAGCTCGGCAAACTCCAACAGTGACAGACACCCCAGCAGACCCATGCTTTCGAGTGGCCCCCGCCACCTGTATCACCCACCCAGCACACACTTTCTGCTCATCAGCCCACCTCTTGTCCCACATCCATAAGCCCAGACCAGGCACTGGTGGCTGCATGGACTCCCATGCCAGCTCTCCAGGAGGCAGCCAGTAGGCCCCTCCCTGACAGACAGGACCTCCATGCCCACCTCGGGCCCAGTGTGGCCTGGCCACAAACAAGATGACCTACCCAGAGGTGTGGTGGTCAGGGCCTGCCGACGTCAGGTGACATGGGTGCCCCCAGATCCAGCCCAAGCCCCTCAGGCCTGGGGGAAGAGGATCCGGCCAGCATTGTTAGTCTTCAACAATGTTTCAATATGAATCACTTGAGCTGCGTTTCTGCTCATTTCCTGGAGAAAGCAGAAGTGGAGAGTCAGCAGATGACCCAGACAGTAACACAACTGCCTGAGCTCTGGTGGATGACTCGGGCCCCGCGGGAAGGCCCCTTAGGGCAGGGTGCTCAGTGGTCAAGCAGTGCTGGCTGGAGCCGAGGACAAAGGAAAAGCTAGTGAAGAGTGGACACAGAAGTTAGCCCTGTGCTGTCCGGCTGGACGTCCCCCTTGAACCTCTGGTAAAATACAGACAATAGTGGTGCTTGGGTGAGTTTAGTCAGAGATGTGTCTAACGGGCATCCATGACATTGCATGGGGTCATATGCCTCTTCTCACTTGGGTCCAGAGAGAGCTCTCCACTTGGAGTCCTTCCTCCTCCATCCTCAGACCTAAGTTGTACTACAAACCAACGGAGTCCTCCAAGGCTAGATGGCCAGCTGTGGGTAACATTGAAGTCATGATGAAGGAAGACTTTAAATAATAGGATGAACTTCTTTGAAACTCAGCAACATGGTGCTCTTTCCCTCGGTTTATTAGCTTGAGTCATTTCCTATCAGCCCTCCACAACACCGTCCATGTAACATCAGCCAGCATGTCCACCCAAGCACACAACCTCTCCATGCCCCATGAGCAGAAGCGGTGGGTAGCATGAATGTCTGACTGGTACAAGCTAGCACATCGCCCATTCCTAGCTCATAACCAGCTGGCCATTCATAAACAACTATAAGTGAGGGGCACATCCTTTATTACGGGAGGCAGCAAGGCTCTGATATTGGTTCAAAAATGAAAACACAGTTGTAACAAAACTCAACTCTTGCCAGGGCAAATTTGCCAGGAGACAGCAGCCAAAATGGGAGACTCTGTCCAGCAGAAGACGAAGGCAACATGCCCCCACTGATCCCAGGCCCAGTCACCAGCATCCTTACGTAAGCTTTCATTTCTCATCCACTGTCCATGGGTACAAAGGAAGCCACACTGGAAGCTGGAAACCCAGAAGCACAGGAGGGTTATCTAGGGTCACCCAGAGACAGGCTACAGTGCCTACACTAGCACCAGAATCATCTTGTCAGGCCAAAACAGACTCCAGTATTTTTTAAAGCAACTAATTAACATCCTCCTTATACTATATCCAAGGCCCGTGATGCTGTATACTGTGTACTACTGTGGGAAGAGAAATGTTAATTTTCTTGGTGGCTGGGACAAGACTCTTTCCCAGAGAGAGACCTACTTTTGTCGACTGAAGAGAATATGTTGTTAGAGGCTTAGCTCCTGGTTTGAAAATCTTGACTGAAATTTCCACTACTGTATTAACACAGTCAACATCTTTACCTTGTTTCTTATTTGTGGGGAGAAATGACTATGATGTCTTAGGGACAAATCAAGTAATATTTGCCAGTGGGTTTTTAAACACTAGAAAGAGCTGTACAAATACAAGTTATTATTGAGACACTTGGTCATGCTCAGACACTGAAGCAGTCAGGAACTATGAACTGCTCATGTACGTGTATATTTTTATTGAGGGGAAATGTGAGACTCTGATTTTTTCTAAAATGTCCAAAAATAGCTATTACACTTCTGCTTCCATTTATAACAACGTAACTGTTACAGAACATATCCTCCCACTGAAAGTAACTCTAAATATGTAAGACAACAGTTTCCCTGCACTGAAGAGCAGGCAGCAGAACACTATAGTCCTTGAGATAAGAATAACACAATAGGCGAGCCCCAAAGTTGTCCTGACTTCTTCCTATGGCTACTTCCTGGCAAGGTGCAGGCGAGCAGAGGCCCAGGGGCAATAATCTCCTTGAAATAAAAATGCAGAAGATGGAAGGGGTTAGAATGTTCAGGGCAGAGTCCTGAGAGGAGTGTGTTTTGTGGGAACTCATCATGTGTGTCCTTGGCCATGGGTCACCTGTGCATGCATAGGGTAAGACTCCAAAAGACCTAGATAACCTGCTCCAAGGCTGAGAACCGAACAGAAGTAGCAGAGATTGGGCAGTGTTACGAAGGTTTGAGTTACATCCCATTCAGATTGGAAAGACCTCTTTGAGTATATGGAGAATTCATCTTATACTCCAGAAAGGCCACACAGAGGAGAAAGAACCATACACTAAAGTAGAAGCCACAAACTAGGAACAAGTTCAAAAATGGAAATAGAGGGCGCCTGGGTTGCTCAGTGAGTTAAAGCCTCTGCCTTCAGCTCAGGTCATGATCTCAGGGTCCTGGGATAGAGCCCCGCATTGGGCTCTCTGCTTAGTGGGGCGCCTGTTTCCCTTCTGCTCTCTCTGCCTGCCTCTCTGCCTATTTGTGATCTCTGTCTGTCAAATAAATAAATAAAAATCTTTAAAACAAAAATTTTTTTAATGGAAATAGGTAAGTCCTAACAAATAATAAAAGCAAACTCGGCGGAACCAAAAGGAGATTCCAGTAGTCAAACTGCCAACCAGAACAAAACACATCATCCTTTAATGGAAGAAAACGTAATGCAGCATCCCTTCAATGTAACATTTATACTCTGCAGCATATGACTGAAATTAGTAGAAATCTGGAGAAATAGAACAATGTGACCTATAACAAGAAAAATAACTGTCAATAGAAATAGACCCCAAGATGAACCTAAAGTTAGAAGTATCACCAAAGGACTTTAAAGCAGCTATTAGAAATATATTCAAGGACTTAAAAGGAAAAGATAGTCATAATAACTGCAAGGTAGGAAATTTCAGCAAATAAATGGAAAATATAAGGAGATTGGAATATAGAATATCCGGTGGGGGAAAAGACAGTCTCTTCCACAAATGGTGCTGAGAAAACTGGTCAGCTACATGCAAAAGAATCAAACTGGACCACTTTCTTACACCACACACAAAAATAAATTCAAAGTGGATGAAAGACCTAAATGTGAGACATAAAACCATAAAAATCCTTGAAGAGAGCACAAGCAGTAAGGTCTCCGACACCAGCCATATCAATATTTTTCTAGATATGTCTCTTGAGGCAAAGGAAATAAAAATAAAAAGAAACTATTGGGACTGCATAAAAATAAGAAGCTTCTACACGGCAAAGGAAAACAATCAATAATACTAAGAAGCAACCTACTGAGTGTAAGGAGATACTTACAAATGACATATCCAATAAAGGCTTACTACACAAAATCCATAACAAGCTTACACAAATCAACACCCCCCCAAAAAAAATAATCCAGTTAAAAAATAGAAGAAATGGGGTGCCTGGGTGGCTCAGTGGGTTAAGGCCTCTGCCTTCAGCTCGGGTCGTGATGTCAGGGTCCTGGGATCGAGCCCCACATCGGGCTCTCCGCTCAGTGGGGAGCCTGCTTCCTCCTCTCTCTCTGCCTGCCTCTCTGCCTGCTTGTGATCTCTGTCTGTCAAATAAATAAATAAAATCTTAAAAAAAAAATAGAAGAAATGAACAGACATTTCTCCAAAGAAGACATCCAGATAGCCAACAGACACATGAAAAGATGCTCAACATCCTTCCTCATCAGGGAAATGCAAATCAGAACTACAATGAGATGCCACTCACACCTGTCAAAATAGCTAAAATAAAAAACACAAGAAACAATAAGTGTTGGCAAGGATGTGGAAAAAAGGAGTCCTCTGGCACTATTGGTGGGAATGCAAACTGGTACAGCCACTGTAGAAAACAACATGGAGATTCCTCAAAAAGTTAAAAACAGAACTACCCTGGATCCAGTAATCACGCTACTGAGTTTTTACCCCCCAAATACAAAAACACTAATCAAAGAGATACATGCACCCCTATTTTTATAGCAGCATTATTTGTAATAGCCAACTTATGGAAGTAGCCCAAGTGTTCATTGGTAGATGAATAGATAAACAAGATGTGGTATAAGGAGGCAATGGAATATTATTTGGCCATAACAAAGAATGAAATCTTGCCATTTGCAATGACATGGATGGAGCTGGAGAGTATAATGCTAAGTCAGTCAGAGAAAGACAAGTACCATATGATTTCACTCATATGTGAAATTGAAGAAAGAAAACAAATAAGCAAAGGGAAAAAAGAGAGGAGAGAAGCAAACCAAGAAACAGACTCTTAACTATAGAGAACAAACTGATGGTTACCAGAGGGGTGAGGGTGGGGGATGGGTTGAATTGGTGGTGGAGATTAAGGAGTACACTTGTTGTGTTGAGCACTGGGAGATGTATGGAAGTGTTGAATCACTATATTGTCCACCTGAAATAAACATAACACTGTTATGTGTTAAATAGTAAAACAAGAAAAGGACAAAACAATGTAAATTTTAGAACCAGAAAGTATATTTAATATGAAAATTTTACTGATGGCCAATGGCAGAGTGGTGACTGCAAAAGGAAAAAAAATAATGAACTTAAAGACCACTAAATAGAAATTATTCAATTTGAAAGACAGAGAAGAAAAGATTGAAGAAAAATAAACGTGCATTCAGTTGCATTTGGGACAATACCAAATGGCATAATAAATGTGTAACTGAAGCCCCAGAGGGAAAGAAGAAAAAGAAGAGAGTAGAGAAAAATATCAGAAGAAATAATGTTTGAAATTTGCAAAGTTTGTTGGAAACTAGCAAATTGTGGATACAATAAGCTTAGTAAGTCCCAAGCAAAACAGGAAGAAACCTACACTTACGGACATCAGAGTCAAACTCCTAACAGTGAAAAACAAAATGTTATCTTATAAACAAAGAAAACGGGCGCCTGGGTGGCTCAGTGGGTTAAGCCTCTGCCTTCGGCTCAGGTCATGATCTCAGGGTCCTGGGATTGAGGCCCGCATCAGGCTCTCTGCTCAGCGGGGAGCCTGCTTTCTCCTCTCTCTCTCTATGCCTGCCTCTCTGCATACTTGTGATCTCTCTCTCTGTTTCAAATAAATAAAATCTTTAAAAAAAAAAAAAAGGAAGAAAGAAAGAAAACCAGTATTACAAACAGGGGAACAAAAACACAACCTCAGACAGATGTTTTGTCAGGAAACAATGGAAGTCATAAGACAATGGAAAAATA